CATGTACATGAGAATAAATAGAACATAAAACACATCTGGTCCCCTTTCATTCCCATTATTCAATGCTGTGGAACATGTTCTACTCTTGTTTTTAACCCACACATAAGCCACTTCTATCGCGGAGACAATTTTTGGCGCGACTGGTTATCATCACCATGTACAGAGACTCAGACGTGAAACTGGTGATCTAGTCACATCACTGCTGAGAACACAAATAGACATTTTCTCATGCTTTTCATTGTACTACCTGGAACAAAATAAGTGCCAAATAAAGTTTCAGTTCTAGTTTAGTTTCTCTCTCTCGTCCACCTACTCATACTCTGGTTCTTCGTCTAGCTAGCTGCCCGTCTTTTTTTAGACTAGTTGGGTAGCCACCTTCAAAAATGTCTTGTAAGCCACAATAACAATCAACAAGATTTCCACTGCTAACATAAAGGGTGTGTTCGCCCATTCATAAGAAAGCTGGGCAGTGTCAGGTTCATAAAGCTAAGTCAGCATTACTCATTCAGACTGCAAATGCTAGTTTATGAAAGAGATATTCAAGAGCTTATGTGTAAACTTGTGCTCTTGTACAAAAGCTGATCACTAAACTCCACAAAGTCTATCCTGTTTTACAACATCTAACTCCTCGCTGTTGTCTTTTCCTCGCTACTGTAAACACACATTTTTATTTTTGACAGGTCACATTTTACACATGAGCTGCGTGCCTATTGTTACTGCCTGCTGCAATGCCACCTGAGCACATGTGTACAAGTGTATGCTTAAGAGGAAAGAACACAGTGGTTTAACGAAACAGGAATACTACCAGTGCTAGATTATCACACTAAATGCTGCTAAAGCTCCTCTGAAAATCATTCAGACAGCGTTTAACATGAAATGACAATGAACATTTAATTGGTTAAACTGTACAGCTATGATTAATTAGTAATTTAGCATTTCATTTCACTGAAGCTTTAACTTTGCACGTTTCTCCTCCTCGGTGTAGTCATATTGTTGACTTAACTGCTGTTATGATCGGTTACAAGAGTTTCCCTCTGCTAATTTTGTGACACCTTCCTCCTATCTCTGTTTCCGCGAGTTTCGAAAACAAAAAAGTATGTGAGTGTTCATTTACATACTGCACAAACTGACCAAATACATAACTTCATGTGACAGTTTAGTACAATAACAATTTAGCACTCATGTCAGGAGCGACAACTGTATTTATCTGGCTGTGCAAATGTAGCAAATGCAGCCGCTTCCCTCGCTTCTATCTGCTGCAAAAAGACAATAACTTTGCGGTAGCGGCACAGCAGGATGATGTGTTTTCCACTCATAATGGGGCACAGATTTTCCCAATTTCTACTCCTGACTGTTTCAACTCGACACTTGCTACATGTTACATGGCGGACTGCTGTGCTTGCTGTTGTATGATTCGGGTGAGACCTTTGCAGGATCGGCGGCAACCAGTGCGGCTGTCGCCTCCCATCGAAAAGGGACTTTACACACATCCGCAGCCTCAGATGCTGAGCCACACTGTGAAAGCCACAGATCTATCACACCTGACAAAGGATCTTTGTGTGGATCTCTACATTGTGCTCATTTGAAAAACACAAACCCTAAAATATTGAATATCCGGTAGTGTAGATAAATCTAATCACCTAAATATGGTTGTAAAAAAAAGGTTGTCACTGTCGTCTCAACATAATGTTTTTGACTAGAAGTCAACGAGTGTGTGCTACTTGAAAACTAGGGGGCTAAAGAAGGACGATCCCACACATAGATATTTCTAGTTCGGGACGTGATGGCTGTAATAAACAAATCATGGCTGGGACTTGAATTCATCATGAGGTTCTTTACATTTTACTGAGGTCTTCACACTGAAATTCTTCTTGAGAAAGCAAAATCTTAAGACAGCTGCAATGTATTTCACTGACAAAACACGCTTGAGCAAAGTTAGTCAGAATATTCTATGAGCTGAATTTAATGTAATGAATATAATCAAGTATGGTAAGAGTTGTAAATGGGACACTGTGCAATACTGTCTGTCCCTGTTCAAAATATTTTACATTTCAACGAGTGTAAAACTTAAATCAGGAGGACAACCTTCCAATAAGCAATCATTAAATGAACAGTTATTATAATTATTTTACAAAATCAAAATTCTGTATTTAAAAAAAAAAACATCATCTCTAGATATTATATTAGAAAATAAACAGGCTTAATCTAACTTACTTGTTTGCAAATACAAATTCTGAAGCACATGAATAATGATCATCCAGCGCTCACAAAGTTAGAGACAACAAAACTAAATGACAGCACTTCTTTAATCGCAAAAACAACAGGGGAAAAGTGTTTATCTAGTCAGCACATGCAGCAAATGGCGAGTCACACTATCTGCCTCAACACATAATTCCATCCCGAGCTAATCTATTGACCGAAATGATAAACAAAAAAATAACTCCTGTGAAAATAACCATCTCCAACTGAGTGGTTTGGGAATGGAGCCCCACCCTGTTTACAACACCGAGAACAAAAACAAACTCCCTCAAAGGAGCCCAGGCAAATGCAAGTCACACACTCCAACCAATACAGGCAAACAACAACAATGTCTTGAAGATCTACTGGGAGAGCGGGCTATCAAACAACAGCAGCCTGCACACAAACAAGGTGTGCATCTCTCTCTGTGTTAGAGAGAGCGAATTGGAGAGCGAGAGAAAGTGTCTGTGAGAAAAGAGAAAGAGAGAGAGGGAGAGGGAGGGAGAGAGAGAGAGAAAGCGAGAGTTAGTGTGAAAGTGGAATTGAGTAGCAAACAAAGTCAAATACCACCCGCACCACCCCTGTTCTCAGGTCAACTGTATCATCAGGAGTCAGGGAAGATACCGTCACCACCTTCCATGAATAGCTCACAAAACCACATCAGTATGACTTCACCATGGCAAACACAGCAGTTTGAGAACACTCTCCCTCAATATCCAGGGGACTCTGAAAGAAGACGTAATGAATCTCAGTTAACAAGGCCATTATCAGAGAGGGAGCTACATCATCAGGAGGGACTCCAAATCCATAAGGCCCTTACATCCACTGGCCTTTTATTGTTGCTATTAACTGCTCAGGTATGCTGTTAACAATTGTACAAAAAAAGAAAAACTCACCGAGATAAAAGTATCATGTGTTTGATCTCACACTGTACATCATCACAGTAAACAATGAGACTGTATAAGGGACATGGGCCCAATTAGCCATCTCTGCTCTCAGCTGTCAAGTGTTTAAACAGCCTGCTAGGATGATAATAGTAACCTGCATACTTTCATCTGTGCTCCAGACTCATCAGCATGGTAGCACCTTTGCTTAAGCGCTGCACTGCATCTTGGGTAATTACTGTTTCCCAATTACCTCCCAGCTGGTAAATATATATCAAATAAACAAGCAACAACCCGTCAATTAGGAGCAGCCTTTCATAATGGGGGTTCAAAATGATGTTTTATGTACAGACAGAGGAAAGCAGTGAGAAAAGGGAGCATTCAACTTCAAAGTGAACTTTTATCTGTTAACTATGGTTAACAGTACATCTGAACATAACAGTTTGTAAAATAATTAAATCACATGTGGGGTTTTTTTGAGGCAATTAATATGCAGCCCTAATTAAAAGGTGTTCTTAATTGCCAACAGGACAAAGCATACAAACATGGGAACGGTGCATTCCACAAAGAAAAGGACTTAAAAACGAAACGTGGCCTTTTCTTCACAGACAAGTGAAGAGGGACAGTAACATTGTTGAATTCAATGGCAAAAAAAGAACAGCTGCAGTAACCGTCTGTCAACAAAATTTGCATTGCTGCTTTCTCCTCATCTCCATTACTCTCTCCTGTCTCTCCTCAAGCCCACGGAGCTGCCGGCTCAGATCTGAGTACTCTGATGGCTTATCACATAGCGAGCAGCAGGCTAAGCCGGAGTGATGCGCCCAAAAGACATGATCAAAGCACACCAACTTTCCACCCAGCAATGATGATGGAAGAGCAGGCCCTGCCATGTTATGTTTCTTATTAGGCTGGGACTGCCAACTGAAAACACAGCCAAGAAGTCAAGGATGAGGCCCCTAAAAAAATGTCTTCTGCAACCCCTATTTTACATTATGTGCCTACTACACTTACCAAGCTGTAAGTAATAATCTGTGACATTTTCATATTAGTAAATGTCAGCTTTGCTGCTCTTATTCTACACTGATGTAGCACAGTAATGATTTAATCTACAGCCAGGCAATGAAATCTTTTATTCTTTCATTTCATTCAGTGCTTACTGTTAACATCCGCCTTGCTATGTATTTTAACTCTTTGCTGCAATTAAGAGTCTTTCTTGTTGTTGCAGTTGAATTTTTTCGCAAAAGCAGAGGAACTTTCGAGATAGTATGAGAAGCCGCCACAGCTGAAAAGAAAAAGAGCAGAGCGGCGACACAAGAAACTAAAACTTCATAAACAAAGAAACTATATGACAGATCTAACCACAATGTTTGACTGACAAGTGATTCCTGGCGAAGGTACGAAGCCGTCAGACCACACGACTTGTCATCGCAATATTAAAAACATGAGTTTAACCTTTACGAATTACAGTTTCTGAATGATGCTTCTTCTTGCATTATCAGGTCACATTGTCTCTTTTACATAAATATCACATCCCACATCAGTGAAACAGGCCACCTCTTCAACATACGTACCGCCATATGAGTAATTCCAACATTAGCCGTCCCAGGAACTCAACAGTCCCAACTTCATTATTTTGCTGTTTTTCTCACCTAAATTGCTAGGAAGCAGAATTACTTACTGAAAGCTGCAATGATAGGCAAAACGATAAACCTCCGGCTCTGCATCACTTTGTGACGGGTAGAGGTGTATTCTAGACAACTAATAAAACCGCTATCTTTTTATTTTTTTTTGCAGATCTAGGCCTAATTATAGATGTTGGTGTTTGAGCCGTCTGTACACGTTATTGAACTTTAAACCAAAAGAAGAATAATCACTTACAGTTCTGACGTAACCAACTTTCACTAGCGGCTTCAGATCGTTTTCAAAGCGGGTCGACTTCACTTCCTTTCCATGTTGCCCTGGAATGACAAACAAAACAGAACGTGAGTATCTCGGGTTACATCAACTTTGCAGTGTAAATATTAATCAATGCATATGTGACAGAAGCATTCCCTTAAAAACGAAAGCAGCATCTATCAGCCCATCCGAGCAACATCACAAACACACACACACACACACAGACTGGACAGCTGATAGAAACAGGTGCCGAGGTTTCGTCTGGCAGCTGAGCACAGCTTGTAGCATATGTCTGAGCCCCTCATGTCTGGACGAAAATGTTTGCAGCCTACCTGCATCCTTCCCAAAACAGACTAGTGTTGTGATATTGAAGAAACGGAGATTTTAGGTTATTTTATATGCTAAGAGGCTCGTTTAAAGTGAGAAAAGGGGGTGGTATGAATAAAAATACCACGATTAAATTGTGTATAATGCTTGGATGGACTAAAAAAAAGAGAGAGCAAGAGATGGGAAGAAACTAAATTGCACTTTGTCTTCCAGTTATAAATTATCACATCGTCAAAAAATGTAGACATTTTCCAAACTAGCCAACTTTTGTTTTGCTTTGACTAACCAAAAAGAAATACCCCAGTTCCAGCGCCCTTTAATTTTTCTGTCATTTTCTTATTTGAGCCCATCTGCAACACTTTCCCTGTTGTGAAGTAACAGATGAAATACATTTTACTTCAAAAATCTGTCCCAAAAACTTGATAACTTTTATCATTAGAAAAATATTGGCTTACATTAAAAAGAGATTATTTCCTGTTTTCATAAATTAATTAATGAATAGTAGCAATATAGTTATACAGCCCATCTAGCCCAATTCAACTGCACACAGACCAATTATTTATCATAACAACGCTACTTTTATCCGAAACCAACACAACAACAGCTAATTTAATGCACCAACTTAACAGATAAAAACTAATCAGACACAACACACTTTGATATTTTCCAACAATGAACGAGCCGTGTTCCAGTGTTGTACTGTATTCATAAAACACAACACCAGTAGCAAATTCATTTTGTAACTCAAGTTAATTGATTGTAATTGCATGCTCCCTCTCTTCCCATGCAAGCGGATGACATTTTTTGTCAGCATCCCTCCCTTTATTAAGGACAGATGACAGTAGAAGACAGTAATTAATGGTTGCATGAGTTAATGGCCATCCTGAGCATTTTGCAGTCTCCATAGAGACTGAGGAGCTGCAGAGAGCTCACCTGAAGCTGTCCACTCTCTGACCAATCGCCTTCCCTGGCATGGAGAACCGTCTGCCTGGGCACGCCACAGGGGCCGGGACACACTAACCTTTACCCTGGAAATATTGTTCTGCTTTCCTTTGTTATCACTTCCATTCATGTAATACAGCACTAATGAGCGTGCTGCACTCGTATTCATATTGCCGGTACTCTTCCCCCTTTGTGCTTGTGTGAATCAAACATGCAAAAATCACATGACAAATTCATTTACCAGAAAATTCCCTTTATTCATCTGTCACTTGTCTCGCTTTGTGCAAAAAAATGTTTCGAGCAACTGGTTCGAGGGCGTCTTGTATCTGAAATCGAATGAAGGGCGAAGCCAGCAAATAAATCTGAAAGAAACAATATAGCAAATGCAGAACCTTATTCCCACACTGGACCGAAAATAACTCTCCTTATCATTCAGCTGCAAGCAAGGGTGCACAGTCAGTTTACAGCCCCTCTGTACCCAGCACAGGGTATTTCAATGTGTGTTCACAAATACTGAGCCGTCAGATGAAAGAGAGGACCGCTCCACTCAGGGATGGGAGTCCTCACACTGAATGCATGAGTGACTGATTACTTTCTTACCAGTTGAACCTCAGCTCTCCACAAAGAAGAGCCTTAGCCCAAGCCTGAAGAGGCCAAACTAGAAACAAGGGCTTTCCAAATAATACAAAATCACAGATTGGTGCATTAAGCATCTTGCGTCATTACAATGCATACAGCTGTTCTTCCTCAAATTTCAAGCTTTTTGCCCCAACCCACCGCCTCCCCCCCACACACCCCAACTCAATTTATTCAGTCGTAGCATGTGGCAGACAAAGTACAGTCATTCTTGTTTCTAGAAGCAGACGCGGGGGACGGTGTTGGGTTGTTCCCATCAGAAACAGCGCAAGGCTGAGTGTCTGTATGTAATAGCTGTGTCAAACAGCAGGCCCGGAAAAGTTGCAAAGAAAGTTCATCCTGTGTTTTAAAACCTAGGTCAGCATTTGCGAAGGTCCATTTCTGCATAAGTGAGCACACAAACCCCAGTGCCTGTTCAAATAGTCTGCAGCTCTCTCTCAGGCAGCTCATGACAACAGCCCAGCAGCAGCACTGTTTGATCTCCAATGTTTTCCTTAATCTGGGTTGTCAAGGTTCGCTTGTTGGAGGCTGTTTACTTTACTTCTCCTACAAAAAAGTGTTTTTTTCCCCTCAGACAATGACTAATCCAAAGACCAAGGAGGAGGGAGCACTGCCAGCAATAGTTGTTAAAGCTGCAGTTTCCCTTTTGTAAATTTTCAGATGGTTTTAGTGCTGCTGTTGCCAGATGCAGACGTACTGTATAAAGCATCACGGCAATATTTCATTCTTGTAGGTACGCAGTTTATAATGAGTAGGTATGTGTGCTCTCTATCTTCATTTATTTATAAAATTAGAAAGCATTTTTGTGCAAATCTGTCTTAATTAGAGAATGTATGATAAATCAGGAGGGATTAAGTACATTAGACAATATGTTTATGTCTGTTTCCAAGCTGTCAAACCATCAAATCCATGGGGTTTGTCACAAGTGTACTCAATACACCTGTTCCAAAATGTTAACACAAAAAAGCGTCAAAACACTGGAAACATAAGTGTATTTGATAGCTACAGTTAAATAATAAAATAAAGTATAGCATTCCTGTATTAGGATATCACACATAAGTAAAAGCAGCTTACTCCACTATAGCAACAATTGTTAATTAATTTAAAAAATAATAATAATTAAACCCTATTTTTCACAAGTCATAGCAAAGTCATCTACAACTCCAGCCAATTTACATTAAAAAAAAAACTGTACGCCACACCACATCTGACTCAATAAAAACCCAGCAAACTTTGAGAAAAACCAGCAATACAGGTAGAAAAAAAAACAACACTTACACTTTAAAAGTCCAAATGCAGTTTCAGGGTATCAAAGCTATAATTAAAAAATTAATCCTACAAATCTATTGATGAAAAGTTAACTATGAGGCGACAATCGGCGTGTGTTTTTGTACAGCCTTATCGCTAATGCAGGCGAGCCACAGCGAACAACAGAGAAGAAGAAAAAACAAAACAATAATGATGGACAGCCAAAATAAAGGCACTCTGCCTGTTAGCTTTAGCGGCATTACGGTTAATATAGCTTTACTTTCGGGGCACTTCTCATGCCTTTGCTGCGGTCTTTGGGAGTTTGGAGGACAGCTAACACGTGGGGAAAAGCTCCTTCCCTGGTCTTACTCCAAGAGAAATCACGGCACTCAAACTTCCCTTCCACAATGTAAACTTTTTTTTTTTTTTACGGCGCTAACATTCCCGTAACAGGTAACGTTTAATTGCGGGCTAGTTAGCCGCTATCGCTAACTAGCTTACTTTATAACCACGTAGCATTAATTGCTAAAATACTTTTTTCTCTTCCCCCCCCCTCACCCTCTCAAAGGTGCATTTCCACCCTCAGGGTCTCATGAGAACTAAGTTAGAACTTTCCAACAACCCAAAAAAAAAGTAGAGACACAGTTAACATTACCACCAGCCATTACGCGACATTATGATAACACAGGTGTTTGTTTATTTGTTTATTTGTCACAATCTCGGCAGCTACATTAAAAAAAAAAAACCGACAAGACAAACTCCGTGGTGTGTGTTTCGAGTGCAGCAGAAGCAGCAGCAGCAGCAGCAGGTATCTAGATACGAAACAACAAAGCTAAACATTTATGATAATAGTGAAACTTACCGGATTGTAGGGGAGGATTTAAAAAAAAAAAAAATACAACACAGCTTTTTACGGCAGCTAACAAGCGCACGCGGAGGGTGCCGATTTTTTTTTTTTTATTTTTTTTTTTAAGCTAAGTACGAGATACCGGAGCCGCCGTGCACGCGAGCTTGTGTACCGAGAAACGCATGCGACAACAAATCACACCGTAAATAACCGAAATATTCCTCCGCTCTCCTCGGTTTGTTGGTGGAGGTGGTGTTGGTGGTGATGGTGGAGAGGAGGTGGTGGTGGTGGTGGTGGTGGCAGAGGAGGGGGGGAACTAACGAACTTACTTAACTACGAGAGAAAGAGATGATCTTACCGAGGGCGTCGAAATAAGAGCCAAAAAAAAAAAAATATTTCAAAAAAAAAAATGTGGAGTTTCACACTCGCTGCCTGCCGGTGTTGTCTCGCAGAGGGGGGAAAAAAAGCTCCTTTTTTTTCTTAATGTTATTAGATTTTAACACGCCGAAGATACACGCGAAAAAAAAGAAGGAGGAAAGAAGAAGAAGAAGAAAAAAAAAAAAAAAAGGAAGAATCGCGGATTTGGATGTTTTTGTTTTGATGTCCGTGACGTCATATCCACCTGCTGGGTAAACAACGCTCATTGCATTGCAGATCCCCTTCATAGAAACATCACAAGTACAATTCAGCAGCACTTAGTGGCACTTAGTGGGTCCTTTCTATGGGGAAATGTAATGATATGCATTAGTTTTAGCAGAAAGTGTGACAGGAGAGAGGGGGCTGTCAGAAAAGCTAAAATGTCTAAGCTGACTAATTACAACTGAGGCAGAATGAACTTCTATTATTTCAGAAAATTCTCCTCTTTTTTTTTTTTTTTTTTTTAAGCTAGGGTTCATCATAACTCTTCCAAAGCCTCACTGCCAAAAAAAAAAAAAAAAAATGAAATGCTCTGACATAATCATCAAAGATGTTTTAATCTCAGCTGTGAGGAGTTTTAACCATTAAAGAGGGTCGTGGTATTATGCTTTTTGAGGAGTGTAGATAACCAGATTACAGGTTCTTTCACTGTAATAATAATAATTTCTAACATGTGGGCCAGTGCTGTGGAGTATTTCGAAGGGACACACAACTAACTAAATTTAAGTTATGGAGGATTTCTCTTGCTTGCTGTAGTTGTTGTGGTTGCAAAGTTTTGGTCACTCAGCAGCAAGAAGTGTAAAAAATATTATAATATTACTCAGTTGCCCCAGAAGAAAAGAACGGGCCAGTTCAACAGCCCAGTTAACACTAATTGTAATGCAACATTAACTTCAAGAGAAAATATTTTAAGTCTTTTTTTTTTGTCCTTGATCAAGGTCTGAGAAACACAGCTCATTTCACTGTAAACGACATTACATTTATCATGGCTGCATCTGAGAGGCATGCTGCTGGTGAACCTCTCACCAGAGGCTGTTTCTTGGTAGACAGCGCCACCCTCTGACCATACCGGGCCACAGGAAAAACGTTACTACAATATAGTATTTCTATCAAATAACAACTTAATTTGTGGTATTAGAGTTTATGGTAATTTTGCGTAACATTATTGATTATTTTAAAACAACCTACACTATCTTCTACCTACATTTTCTGTAACAACCATTGCTTTTGATGTATGGCTGTTTGTTGTTTTTTTATAAATACTCTAACATATCTCAGATCTTCACTTATGCATCACAGATTTAGCTTCAGATTTTAATAATTTTACAAGTATATCTTTCATATCATACAATTAATCGTTTAAGCCTCTTACTAGTTTTTCTTATCATTTATTGGTTCTAAAAAAACAGCAGATGTTATGTTTGTGTACACTACACATGAGCTACTGTAGCTGCTCAGTGACTGGCACCAGATGCAAATTATTACAACGATCACAAATAACAGTCTCTTTGCCACTTTTTTGCTGTTAAGTTCATGACCTCTTACTTTTCATGCTCCAGCTCTGCTTCTAAATGACCCATCGATCACTTGACACCGAATCCTTTATTCTCAAAGTTGCTCCCATCAAAGTCTTCCTCCATCAAGCAGCCCTCTGCTCTGCTGCAGTGACCCCGACACCAGCAGCGCTGCACCAAATGTGACAGCAAACCAATGTTGTCTGCATTCTGTCGTAGCAACAGTGACAAACAGGAAGCATCACAAACTATTTTCTGTTGCTTGTTAAAATACTCTACACACACACACACACACACAAAGACCTTACAAACATTTAAGAAAAAAAAAACATGTGAAAAACAACAATGGTGGTTCTCCAGAAAAAGGGCAGACAGGCTTAAATAAATAAAATTAAAGTATAACAAGGCCCCAAGATTACGTGTTTAAGGTTTAATGTGTATTGTATATGCACAGTGACAGATATAGAGCTAAAATGCCTCATTATATGTATTATTAATATGCCCTATGTGCTGTAGCATGTAGAATGAAAGCACACAGAGACACTGTATGGTCTAAATGTGTTGCATTTAGTGACACCACGGAGAAGCCAAAGTGACACACGTGTCCTTCAAGCCGTTCAACAGATAAAGTTGAAATTGACTTCATGATGCTTTAGGACACAGAAAACTCAAATATTCCCTCACAAGATGTCACATTTAGCCAAATAGCCACAAAGAGAGGGAGTTTTTCATTAAAAAGTGTAATTAAATGTATGTATATCTACATTTTAAACACAGATGCATGAAAGAAAAAACATCGGCATCTAAAATATTTCAGACTTTTCAGTGTGTCTGTATTCTTGATGCTATTGTCCTGTGATATAAACACAGAGTTCCCGTAATAGTTCTAACAGATGTGCAGTTTCATTATAAATTGTGTATTGCGGCATCCTTTCATAGGATTATTGTTTTTTTTTTTCCGCCATAAGGTTGTAAACACGATTGTCTGGTGTAATTAATGACAAAAAGCCAAATGTATGTACAGACTTATGAAGGTAATCTAACGCCTAATCTTAGCTTTTTAATTCTTCACCGGCTTGATCTGCATGTCAATACCGGATCCGTGAGCTCAGCGGAGCCCAACAGCCACGCGGCCGTGTCTGAATTTATTATCGTGTTTTGTTGGTGTCATGCTGGTGATGTGTTGTGTGGATTAAGGCCCCCGACTTGATGGAGTGCAGTTACAAATTAATTGAGGATCACTATCAGTTACGTAACAGCCTCTCCACACATACGCGTGCACACAACAAAGTAATTAGCTTTCTGTTAATTAGGTAATTAAGCAAATGAATAGGAGCTCCTCTTGATTTCCAAAGGGGGATGGATGGCTTTTATACGGTGTTTTAGCCTCGCTGCTGGGGGCTGTGGCATTCAACACGTAATGAAAGAAAGAGGACTTCTGGAGGAAGTGTGCAGATAATGACCAGTGAAGGACGTTAAATGAGTAAAAGTAGGAAAAAACAGCAGGAATTAGGTTACCTTAGGCTGCATTCTGCCATTGAATATATAAGTGGACAGCACTGTATCAAGCCCCCAAACTTAAGAGCCAAACAGGAATCTGTTGAAGGAGGATTTTCTGTTAAAACTTAGCAAGTTAATACCACATCTATTACATATCTGTCCACATGCATTAATAATACGGATATTATTTACTTAAAATGACACTTTAATACATTTCTGATGCTGCCAAAATTTTGACTGCATTCTTTGATTTTTTTTTCCAGCTGTAAAATATTCTTGCGCTTTGTTTTGGAAGTTGAACAAATAGTTTTTATACAGCATACAACAGGCGTGAGTACACCCTCAAAGCAACATCACTTAAATGTCAAATGATTCAAAACTGCCACTAACCATGTAATTTATAAGTTAAAGAGTGGATTGTTTCCTCTTATGAACAATCAGAAACAAATACTTTGGAAAGACTATATTGATGATTATATAGTCCTAACAGTAGAAAGTCAGTGCAACAAAAGTAAACACTCCTGCGATCACTGAAGTTAGAAAACCTGTGACAGCTGAAACCAAACTGAGCACACTTGTAATCCCCAGTTAGCCTAAGTGCATGAACATGGTTCTAAAATGACCTGTGAACACCAGAACTTTCTCAGTTTTTGACCCATAAACTGTGTCTACCTAGATGTCTGCATCATGGCTTCACATGGTGACTTTGCAATGATGGTTTGATAGTTGCAGCAGTAATCAGGAGGTGTAGAACAATCCGAAATACCATTAATCAAAGCTGCAGTAGCCGTCTTCCTAAAATGACGTCAGTCGACAGTGCTCTCGCTCGCTGTTTGGTGTAAAACTGCAAGTCTAATTTTGGGAGCACATTCTTTAGTCAGATCAGACCGCAAGATAAATTTATTTGGCTTAGATGGGTCCAGGGCTGCAAGGTGGCGCAGTTGGTAGCACTGTTGCCTCGCAGCAAGAAGGTCGCCGGTTTACGTCCCGGTGGGGGAATCTTTCTGCGTGGAGTTTG